CTCCCGGCCACCCTCTTCAAGCCCAGGCTACTTTCCCGCCTCCATTCCGCGTCTCAGTCAGTTTCACTTACTCACAAATCTCCGTGTCTGGTTAACTTGCAAGCCAGGCTGAAGGCCGTCTTGGAGCCCAGAGGTGGACACTCGTTTTCCTTCATCGCAACTGAAGATTCCAAAACCACCTGACCCGGGCCTGACTTTGAGAGGAACTGGGCACGTCTCAGCCTTGTGGGAGCTGGACACTGGAAACCCTGCCCTTGCTCTGGAAACCGGGTCCAACGACTCTAGTCTCCACCCCAAGCCGGTCCTTCATTGGCCACCCTTCCTCCCACTGGCATTCAGGAACCCACTTGTGTCGACATCCCGGCTCTCGACTCCCTTCCTTTTTCGAATCTGCCCACACTCTGAGCTCAGGCTTCCTGTCTCTGCAGCGTCCTCACGTTGGCCTCCAATCCCTGCTAATTCTCTGAATTTCTAGCCCCACGGAGGTTTGAGTCTCCCTCTCCAGCATATTCCTGTGGTCTCAGTCAGTTTCACTTACTCACAAATCTCCGTGTCTGGTTAACTTGCAAGCCAGGCTGAAGGCCGTCTTGGAGCCCAGAGGTGGACACTCGTTTTCCTTCATCGCAACTGAAGATTCCAAAACCACCTGACCCGGGCCTGACTTTGAGAGGAACTGGGCACGTCTCAGCCTTGTGGGAGCTGGACACTGGAAACCCTGCCCTTGCTCTGGAAACCGGGTCCAACGACTCTAGTCTCCACCCCAAGCCGGTCCTTCATTGGCCACCCTTCCTCCCACTGGCATTCAGGAACCCACTTGTGTCGACATCCCGGCTCTCGACTCCCTTCCTTTTTCGAATCTGCCCACACTCTGAGCTCAGGCTTCCTGTCTCTGCAGCGTCCTCACGTTGGCCTCCAATCCCTGCTAATTCTCTGAATTTCTAGCCCCACGGAGGTTTGAGTCTCCCTCTCCAGCATATTCCCTGTGCCCTGTCCCCTGTCACCTGTCCACCAGTGTCCCTGCAGACTCCTGTGCCCCTGGACATTTGTGTCTGTGTATCCCCCAACCTAACTCCCTCAACATACACATAGACACACATACACACACACACTCATACACACACACACACTCATACACACACACGCATGTGCACATACACACACCCATATATGCACACACAAATATACACACGTGGACACACACAAATGCACACATATACACATACATACAATCGTAGACACACAGTCACATGCACGTGCACACATATACACACACATATGCACACACACACTCAGCCCAAAGGGCTCTCCACCCCAAGCCTTGATTCCTTGACTCTAAGTGGTGACCACAAGGGGCACCTCAAAGACACTTCCCTTTGGGGCGCCAGGGCTTCTTCCCTTCCCTTAGTGACTCCATTTAACCCTGACTGTACTTTGGAGGCTTTCCAGTCTCTCATCTCACCTCTGTGTGGAACCCCATCCTTGCTTATCACTCCTCACGGCCACTTCTAATTTCCACAGTATCCGATATTTTTCCAAAAGTATCTCATCTTTTTCTTTCAAAGGATTGCCACAATTTACTGAGTGCTTTTGGTACACTGCTCCGTTATGTTCCCCAAGCTGCTCATGCATCCCCACAGATGCCCTTTCCTGCAGGAATTTGACATGAGCGAAGCCACAGCCCCTTCTCCAGATGGTCGCCCTACCCACTCCTCAAAGCAGCCAGCGGCCAGGAGGAGCCCGGCACAGGGCTCTGGAGCCCAACGTGAGCTGACTCTGGGCTGCACCACGTGCTCCAGGGCCTCTGTGGTCAGGTGCAGCCAGTCCTCACTCAGACCTGACCCTTGCTAGATCCTTTGCTCTGCACTTCCCAGATGCCCTCCAGCACCCCCTCCGTGAACTTCTTGAATCCCGTCTCATGCACTGCTTCTAGCTTATGTGACCTGACGCTATCCACACCAGCAGTAGTCCTGGGAAGCTGTGGGGGACTGGAATTGGCCACCCCGAGGTATGTCTCTTTGGCATGAGGATTCTTTGGGGCTGGTCACTTGTAATAAACTGCAGACAGGAAAGCAACTCCGGAAAGCAGAATTTACTTACCCTTTGGTAAGAGACATTTACATTGTAAAGGAAATCGCCACCCTTAGACGTGTCTCCCTCTCTGTACCAGGAAGAAGGGGGATGACCCTCTATCTAGAAACTCTTAATGACAAAGGCAAGGACTTCAATCTGCATCTTGTTTACTGTACTTGTGTGGTACTCTCCCCTGATCCACACCCCCTCCGCCCCCAACATCCTCCTTTGTCTTTAGCTGAAGATGATGTTTAAGGTGGTGCCTTCAGCCATTTTGGTGAGTTGCTCAGTTTGCCTGAGCCTGTCCCATGTATACGTGGTATAAAGCTTTGTTTAATTTCCTCCTGTTATTCTGTCTCACGTGAATTTAATTCGGTGTCCAGCCGGAAGGACCCAGAGCGGGTAGAGGAAATGTCTTCCTCCCCTATACTCCACACCACCCCTTGATGCCCACCTCTGCTTACCCACACTCCACTTCACTGTCAGGTCTCCAAGGATTCAGCCAAAAACCCCAGAGGCCAAAAAGAGCAGGAAAGAAAACAGAATCAGAGGATAGAGTCTATCTACAATTTCCCAGGTTCTTTCTGTGGACTCTGCGAATAGGCATATGAAGTTTGTAAAAACAAAAAAGAAAGCAAAGAAATGAAGATGAAGATGTCCAGTCTGAGCATGTGGTTGGGGGTGGCCCCGGACAGGGTGAGCAAGTGTAGGCATGTGAGTGCCTGATGTGCCAGGGATCTGCTCGTAGACTGGAGTCGTTGGGTTTTATGACAGGATACCTTTAAAAGCCAGCGTGATCTTGCTCTTTGAAGGTGAGCCGAAAATGTGTGTGGAAGGAGCACACTGTTGGGGTCAGGGCCGCCGCAATCGGGTACCTTCCAGGTCTCTCTCAAGTCCTTGGACTTTAGCTCACAGCACATCTCAGATCCTGGGGGCACTGGCCAGGTAGGAGGCAACCTGGGAACCCAGAAGGATCTGGGCAGTCAGGTCATCTCCTGCTGTGGATACCAAGTCAGAAGACACGGAGGAAACTTGGAAATGTTCATTTGGTGGATTGTAGCGAGATAATGAAAGAAATTGGAGCATTTGGAAATATGGTGAGGGTTAACACTGTGTGCAAGATGACGGCATCAGCTAACCACAGGTAGGCAACGTCAAAGCAAATATTGCTCCAGACAAACTTAAAGAAGCAGAAAGACCTGATTCAAGAGCAGTGCAATAGGGGAGAGACTGAACTCGACCCCCAAAACAAAAGGCTGGAGAGATTTTTAACGTGGGTAGTGGGAACCATAGGTCTCTTGTGTTAAAAGAAATGTACATTTTCTAATAAAATCCTCACAGGAGGTAGTTTTACACCCTGGTAGAGGGATCCGACTAAGTTAGGCTCCTGACCTCCCTCAGAGACTGGGAGGTAGGGCCAGTATCTTCCAGGAGGACGACACTGCAGAGGTTTTTGGCCCAGGCCCTTGGGAAACACATTTCCTGGATCTTAAAACTGGCAAGAGGCTTTTCAGCAGACTTACATACATTTCCAAAGGGTAGAGAAACAGTCTACAATACAGACTGCAATTACAGTTCTAAAGGAATTCCTCTGCACGGGGAGGAGGGGAACGCCACCACGTCTCTATCAGCCAGGATCCAGTCTGCATCTCCATCAGTTCTCTGTGATTTATCAACGGTGAAAAATAGCTGAGAGAGAGAGAGCGGGCCAGAATCTGATCATTCAGAGGCTGTGTTTGCAGGACTTACCCATGGAAACACATTTCTTTCCAAGGTCACCTCCCTTTTGATTTGATAAAAATCATCTCCAAGGAAGACTCTCTTGACCCTAAAGCAGAGCGGGCCTCATTTGATTGGCCCTGATTTTTATAAAGATGCAGCAGGATTGGACGTTTACCACACCGTTTCCTTTCAGGGAATCATCAGAGTAAATCAAGCCACGACCTGTAGAGGACAAAAGACTGAAAATGGCTGTGGCTCACAAAATACTGATCACTGGCAAAAGACTAATATCTGAAGCAAGTTCATCACCCAAATAATGCCACTGACCAGGAAATCTGATTGTATCCGTGGCCGCAAAAAGAGTCAAAGATTTTAAAGTCAACATTGGAAGGAACTTTCTTCTAAAGAACCGTAGCTACATCAAAAGTGAGAAATGGTTTTCTAAACAATAAGAGGGCTAGATTTCCGTGATGGCAATTTGATGTGTCCAGAGGACTGGGCCATGAGGTGGCCAGCTATTTCAATAACATTATCTGGGTGTTTCTGGGAGGGTGTCTCCAGGTGAGTTAGCCTTTGAATTGGTAGACTGAGAAAAGCAGACGGCCCCTCCTTGTGGGGGCAGGGGGTACTGTCCAGTCGGTGAGGGCATGAACTGAACACAAAGTCGAGGGAAAGGAGAATTCACCCTCTCTGCCTGAGAGCTTGAGCTGGGACATGGGTCTTTCCCTGCGCTCAGACTACAACGTACGCCATTGGCTGTCCTGTCTCAGGACTTTGGCCTTCCTGGGTCTCCAGCTTGCGGACGTCACATTACAGGACTTCTGAGTCTTGTGTGAGCCACTTCCTTATAAAAATCTCTTTATACACCCCCCCCAACACACACACACACACACACACATACATAAAGGCATACTTTTTATTTCTCTGGAGAGCCCTAATACGATTTCCTAATGGTATTTCTGATCCTCCCCTTTTGGCCCTGGGCAGCAGTGCCCTGTGCCTACATTAGCCCTGGACATGCAGAACTCATCTTCTTTCCTGGGAATCTTTGCCTCTTGTGCTTTGATAAGCCTCACCTTCCTTGCCCATCAGCCCATCTTCTCAGGGGTTGTCCTCCAGGCACACAGCGGACCTCCAGTGACGCCCAAAGCTCTGATTCCTGGCCACAGAGTTGTGTCCGAAGAGCTCATTAGAGGGTCCCAACGCTCACACACACTTCCCCCTGGGTTGCTTTCAGGTTTCCTCCTGTCCAGTATAACAGTTCCTAGGCTGTGCAGTCTTTATTTTTCTTTTCTCAGACGTGTAATGCTCAGATCCTCTTATTAAAAACAAAAATACGTCGTTGTTTACCTGGCATCAAAAGAAGCTTTGAGAAAATAACTTAGGTCTTAATGCTGAAATCTTTAGAAATTTACGTTTTTGCCTGGGGTAAATATTATTTGTGATGGATTCTATGGCGGCTGAGACACGTTACACAAACCTAATGGTTTCAAAACACAGATTTATTCTCTCACAGTCTGCAGTCCTGAAATCTCCAAAAGGTTTCTCAGGGCTGAAATCAGAGTGTCTACAGGGCCAGGCTCCTCCTGAGGCTCTTGGGGACAATGTGATCCCTTGCCTTTTCCAGCTGCTACAGGCTGTTCTCATGCCTTGCCCCATAACTCCTCATCACACTGCCTTTTCTCCCCCTGGTCCATCCTCACACCATC